ATACAGTAAGAATAATAAAAATGATTTACATTATTTATCTCAAAGTAAATTGACTACAGCGTTTAAAACATAAAAATAGTTAAAAGCATTTAAAATCTTGGTAGTGACTGGACTGACTGTGTGCTAAAATCGAGATCCTTAAAATGAGAGTCCTTCTTCACTTTGCAATAAAAAACTGAAAACTGGTCTGTGAAATGGTAAGAGACAGTGTTCCAGAGTATAACGTCTCTATAACTATTGGATTTTTTAAGAAACTGCGAGTTAAAAGACGGGACAATTATATTATTACTCCTTCGAAAATTGTATGTGGTGCATGGTTTGTTTGTTAAGTATGACAGAGCCATAGGTGCTTCACCTATAAACAGGCTATGGAGTAGTTTAATTAATTGAAGTGTATAATATAGGGTTAAAGTATTCCAGTTCGAATGTCGGTAAACTTCCTCAGTAGGCATATCTCAGGGCAAGTTGTATATAATTCTGGCCGCCCTACGGTGAAGTACTTCTAGCAAATGTAGAAGCTCTGCATTAGGGCAGCAGCCCCAGACGACTAGTCCATATAGAACTGATGGTAGTATGATCTTGAAGTATAAGTCCAATCAGGCGTTTCTGTTCAAGAATGAACTCCTTTTCAAGAGGCAAAGTTTATTTATAAATACTTTTTTTTACATTAGTAAGGTGGTGGGTCCATGAAAGTCTCTCGTAGATAGTAACACCCAAAAGATGAGAGTGTTTCACCCACTCGATCCAATCCTTCCCAATTGTTCAATTGTTGGGGAGATGGATGGTAAGGTAACCGGCCACTTAAATCTGCAAATCCTGAACCCTAAAAGCCCTGTACAAACTGTCATGATAGTTGATGATAGTTTCAGCTATTATGCACTATCATCAACATATCTTGTAGTTGGACATATTCAAATTCTACATGATAGTTGATGATAGTTTTTGCCGTGCAAACTAGGGGATGATAGGGAATGATAATTTTTTTGGCCATGAGTTTTACCAAAACAGGCTCAAACCAAAATGGCAAATGGTAAAATGACTTAAGTAGCTGTCAAAATTTTGAAGAATGTCTCATAGTTCATATTTATCATCTCCTGGTGGGCTGTAGTATCCTCAACTCCCAACCTCTTGACTAAGATTTCAAATGCTGTTGTAATTGCTGACCTCAGGGCATGTAATATTTTTGTCAAATTATGCCATGACATTGTGTGATTTTGTCAACTATCATTAACTATAATGAATTGAATGAAAGTTGAAACTATTAGGGATTAGCATTAACTATCATGGCCGTTTGAATGGAGCTTAATCCCAAGTGATTACCAATAGCACAAGTAAATGCCCCAAATGTTGACTGAGTATAAGATGCTTCGATATTTGAACCACTTTCAAAGCAGTGTTACTCTTATTTAAGTCGTTTTGATGAGAATGATCTTGAATTTACTGTTACATCCTGTGAATGCATGATAGAGATGTAAATGGAACTTGTGCTTGCAGTCATTAGCCAAAACTAGGTAAATCATGAAAGATACACAGTTGTAGGAGTTGAAAAAGTTATTTTTATAACAACCAACTCAAATGCTTTTTCCTATTGGAGGAGAATGTCACATGGGTCAAAACCAACTGCCACAGGGAACAAAAACTTACTAACATCCTAAAGAAACGACAACTTGAACTTTCCACTTGGAATGTACAATATCATGTTGTGCACCGGGAAATCGTGTTAATTTTTTTGGCTTCTCTTGTCAAGGAAACAATTATTTGTTGTCATGTCAGCTATGTGCTTTCTAGGAAGAACTGAAAAATGAGTGCAACAGAGCCTTTGGAACATAAACTTAAAGTCTACCGAGAGGGCTATACATTATGCTTTGCAAAGGTTGAGAGGCTTCTACTAGAAAAATTTGGAGGAGAGATTTCAAGCTTTAAACAAAACAGACCTTAACTGCCCTCTGATTTGCTCAATTGTTAAGTTGCAGGGCATAGCACAACACTTTAATGACTGAACCAGTGGGAAACAGCGAGATTTGTTTCCTCTTGACGCTACATATTCCCTTTTAACCCTTAATGTGATTCCTTAATGCGATTCCTTAATGTGATAACCCTTAACTATATGATTCTCCCCAAGTTAGATTATTGCGACTTTGTTTGGAATAATTTAGCTCCTTCTAGATATAAAACTTTAGAACAGTTACATTAACAAGAGCTGCTAGAATTGTTTTAAAAGAAAGTTGCCTTAGTCACGATCAGCTGTTGTGACAATTTGGTTGGATATCCCTTAAGACACGTTCTATGATGCATATTTCAACTTTTGTTTTTAAATGTGTCAATAACATTGCTCCTGAAATGTTCAAAGAATATTTTGTCAACTTATCACATAATTATTTTACCAGGCATAATGGTCTTGACCTTTAAGTTCCAATTGTTCACACCGAATCTGCTAAGAAAGGGTGCTTTTATTCTGGGGCACACAAGCTTTCAATAATTTACCACCAAACCTGAAAGAACTTGAATCTCTATTAATGTTTAAAACGAAGCTTAAGGATTTTCTATGTAATTAACTTTTAATTTTACTTTTGATACTTCTTCTATGTATATACTTTCCTATAGTTTTTATCTCATGTATATTGAAATAGTTTTTAGGGCTTTTATTATTATTTTGCTATTTTTTTTGTTTCCCAGGGCACCTATTGATAACAGCTTCTGCTGATGGGTTTACCCTGGTTAAATATGTTATTATTATTATTATTATTATTATTATTATTAGGGCTAGTGTAATCTTATCTCTTGAACAATAAAAATGCATTTTTATTTTAGCATCGACAATAATAATATTGATGATGATGAAAAGGATTAGATTGTAAATAGGATTTTAGTTGAAATCGGAACTACTATTTGGTCGTTTTACTTTTAACTTGTAAATAGTTATTTGCTTTGAGTGTTAATAAAGTTTGATATTATTATTATTATTATTATTAACGTGCAGTGACCATTATATCTTTAGGACTGGTTACATCACACAAATCAGTCACTCACTAGACTTAAAGATGTAAAAAAGACTGCAATTCGCCTGAGTGGAGGACGACAAAGACAAGTCAGTTGCCAATGTAACTATGGAAGCGAAAGTAGAGACAGCTTCTTAAGTTTGGAAACTGAGCCTCCTCAGTTACATGTTGACAGCCAAGAAACTGCTAAGTGAGTGACATGTTTTACATAAGTCATGGCTTGAGGTAGTATTTTCATTGTTCAGCTGTTAGATGTGTGACTCAGCACATCCTATGTACATTGTGTAAATGTCTTGTTTGCAATGAAAGCATTCAAGTTGTCATAAGTTTGTTGACAGTCCTTTACATTTTGAAAATGAACAACTTGTGTCAGTCATATCAGTTTCAAACATGTCAATCCAACCACTCGAAGTGTATTTTATAATTGGGCACTTGGAGAGATTGGAAAGAAAATTTTGGTTGTAACATGGTGGTAGGATCTGTGAGGTGCATTTGGTTATGGGAGAAGATAAACAAACTCCCCTTCATGCTGATCTAGCTCATGGAAAATATTTGATTGACTAATGCTTTTCATGTTGTTCAATAGTATGCCAGACTTGTCCGTACCTGAAATAGTAAAACATTTGAATGAGCGGCAGAAATCCAAGCAAAAAAGGCCCCATTCATCTGCTGTGTATTCAAACAGGATTGCACTGAAGAAGCAAGACAGGCAGGAATTCCCTGAAAACAGCAACAACAGTGCATTTATCTCAGGTTGCTAAAACTGACTGATGCCTGGACTTACTAGTAGACTTGGTATCTTGTGAATTGAGTAACATTAAATAAGATTAGGTACACAAATGGCAGTAAGATAACTTCATGATAATTTTATTGTCATACATTTGAAAGGTGATAATGTAAGTTGCAAAATAAGTGATCATGAAGTTGATGGCCCCCCTTTGCAAGACTAATAAATGTAGATGTAGATGTAGATCATCCACAAAAAAAAAAAACCATTTCAATCAAAGTTGAAAATAAAATATAGTGACTTCTTCTGAGAATTGCTTTAAGAGGCAATAGGAATTTTTAATTGCTGCCATTTATTTCAAACAATGTACTATCACAATTACTTCAAGTAGCATTCCCATCTGTGGTTGCAAATTTAATTTCATTCATGAATGATATTCAATTTGATTTTTTAGTGAAAGGACAAACAATGAGGCCTCAGCATCGTTTACCTCCCGGGTCCTTTCCACTCGGTAAAATAATGAATAAAGGTGACACTGGTTATAAAGGTTAGTGAACCTGACTATCAGCAGGCAATCAAAACATTAATTGAACACATCTCATCTCATGTAATACCCTGAATGCAATTTCAGATATTCTTGATTTTATTTGTCTGTCTTTTCTCTTTTCGTATAAATTTTTGTAGGATTAGTGTATCTTGATCGTCAACGAGAGGAGCTGGATCAAAGCTTGTCACCACGTGACCTTCGGCGGTACTCTGCGGCATTATGTGAAGAAGAAGATTTTGAGAGTACCAATCCCCCTCCACCGCCACCCAGAGCGTCTCCAGAACCATCGTCACCAAATTTAAATTGGCCGGAAGTTTCACACTCAGTCGAAGAATATTATAGTGAGGAAGATGATGATGATAATTTGGTCGATGAATCCCAGGAGACAAGGTCGATATCTTCGGCTGGCTCGCGTTCCTTGGTGTTCGCAATTCCAACGGCAGGTAATGAAGGTATCGAAAGTGATGATGAACAGAATCCGAGTCACTTAGACACTGGCAGAGTGTCTTCTGATTATGTTGCCAGGAGCGAGTCTATACTTCATAAATTAAGTGATAAAAGTCAAGCAGAGAGTGCTGTAATTTCTGATTTGCTAGTTGACATGGAAACTACCAAGGAAAAGATCGGCGAGCTTCGAATCAGCCCAAGAGATTTAGATCTGGAATTGACCAGTGGCGCCATGACTTCTTCGGTTCATTTGGCAAAGGTGGAAATAGAAAACGCCGCTGACATTGATGAGGAAACAACACCACAACATGAAATCAGATACGAAACTATGTGGGTTGAAGAGTCTCAGGACTCGTACAGATTAAATGCCCTTCCCAACAGATTTCCCCGAGCCTGTTCAGCAAGATATATGACTCAGCATAAAACTTCGTGTGTTAGAAAACAACAAAGCGAAAGTTCTCTTGTACTGAAAGGAAAAACAGTGGAATTCTTCAAAACGGAGGACCTAGTGGCGAAAAACCTTTTAAGAGACAAACGAAAACTTTTAGTACATAATGATTTGACTGAGGAAGAACATGAAATGCTTGAAAAAGGAGAAGAAGACACCGATCCAGACAAGGTGGGTTGAAAGTGTTTAGATCAGTATTTGTGACATGTGATGAGTCATGAGAACTGTTCTCCTCTGTACGGTGATTATTTTTAAACGATACAAATGGAAGTGTCCAGATATTTGTGATATATGATGAGTAATGAGTAGAAAGAGTTCTACTCCTCTCTACGGTACAAATCTATATCTATATCCTCCACTAAACGAATTACATTTTACGCCTTTGTATAACTTGGAGAGACATAATTTATTAGATTCGCCGACAGGCGGGGACACCGCAACAGCTTGCGCCAATTACTGCGGGCCCAGTAAACCCACTCATCCCACCCCAGGGGAGGACATCCATCACACAGTAATCTCGTGTGTGGGAAATTAACGTCTCCTACCCCCAACCCTGCAGGAGACGGGACCTCCACTCATTCGTCCCTATCCGAGAAGACTAGAATATCTAACCATTTCTTGATGTTATAGAAAGGTAGTAAATTCTTCTCAATTATTTTAAGACCTTGAGTGTTGGTCCGGCCGGGGCTTGAACCCTCGACCACCCGCACAACAGTCGAGCTCACTATCCATTGGGCTAACTGGGCACTATTCTTTGGGCTAACAATGTGCCGAGTGTTCATGTTCTACTCCGCAGATTGTTAATATGTACAAAGGCTGATAGTTTCTAAAGAAACTGTTTGGGGCTGCGTCGGTGGGGGTAACGAAATAATTTGAGTATGTCAACAAAGTTGAAATGGTAAATTGGCCACCGTTTACGATTATAAAAGCTGACGTTTCGAGCGTTAGCCCTTCGTCGGAGCGAAATCGTTGTTGATATGTACCATTTGTGTGTGATATTTTCTACAAAGTATTGTTTTCCTCTACCTTGATAAGGCTGATTTCGTGTTGTCAGTAAAACTGAGTACTTTTTCAGGTTTTTACAAAACCGCCATTGCCAAAATGGAATACCTCGAAAACCAAGAAGAGTCATAAATTGAAACCAAAACAACGGTCTGGCGCTGAAAATCCAAGTAACAGCAGTATCTTGGATCAATCATCAAAGTCTTCTCTACGAAAGTCAAACTCTGAAGGCAATATTCATTTGTACCAGGCAGCAGATGCTAATTTGTCACCGGGCAGCAACCTGAAACTCAAATCTGTAACGTTTTGTCAAGATTTTTTAAGTCAAGTCGATCCAGTTAAAATTCCACTTGACTCTTCTCAAATTTCCACTTACTCCAGTGTCGAGGCAGAAGGTGTTGCAAAGCCAGCTCTTCAAACTTGTGCTTGGTCTCAAAGTTCAGGAGTTGTTATACACAATGGCTTGGAAATGAAGGAGGCTAATCTACAAGGACAAGAAATCTTAGCAATGGAGATTGCGAACAAAGAATCAAAACTCAGTCATACTCGAAAAGCAGCTCAAAGTACACGAGCGAAACTTTTGGCCAAAATGAAAGAACTGCCAGGTGATGAGGAGCCGTGTCCTTGTAGAACAGTTACCAGACCCACCACGGCTCTAATAACAGAGTCAAGGAACTGGAAGTCTGGAACAAAAGAGACATCCTTGAGGAGTGATAAATTATTAGTATGTTTGAATTTTGCTTTACCATTTGCTTTGGTGTTCAGTCAAGCTGTTTTGATGGTTCAGCAGGTTGGTTGTATTACCAACCATTCAAATAAGCCTTCCACTATCTCACGAGAAACTCCTCTTTACAGAAACATCGTTTTACCAGGCCCAGCTCTGCGCCGATCAAACAGTCGTCAGGAAACGGAAATGAATTGAAACTAGAAAAACCTCACTCACCAAGAAGCAAACCTCGTGTCATGTCTGCTAAAGTACAGGTTTGTGTTAATCAGAATACCCCATAACCATTACCTGAATGCATCGCTGAGTGCGACAGGTATTTTTTGGATGCGTTTCCATACCATTAAGATTCGTTTGCTGTATTGCAAATTTAGAGGTTTGATTTTATACCAGCTATGATTATCCTTACCAATACGTTGGGGTTTTACCGGTCTCTGTACAAATGGAAGTTAATTCTTTTTTAACAGCGAAAAAGAACTGGATCTGAAGGAGGACAAACCCGCTCCAGGCCTTCTTCAGCCCATGTTGGCAAGTTAAGGTGAGAGCAATACAATCATTTTGTCGTCGGTAGAAAAACTTGCATGAAGTTTTCTTTGTCAGGTTCGTTGTTTTGTTCACTTAGTTAGGTCCATTGAGCCAAGTAAATTTGAATTAATGACAAAAAACCCTTTGAAATCATGAATAACTGTCGGTATTATACATCTTTTAATCTTTTACTTGTAAATAGTTCTCTATTTATATTATTACCTGTATTAGTGTAATGTTTTAATGTTGTTGCTCAGGGCTCCCATTGATAACAGACAGCTTTTGCGTCTGAAGGGGCTACCCTGAGCCTTATAAATTAATAAAGGTTTTCACTTCACTTATTGTGGTTTTAGTCTCAAGACACTAATCTCTTGAGACTTAACCGTGTAGAGTAGTTAGCAACCGGTTCTTGGCTTGTTTTGCGTTTCTGTGCTGCAATTGCTTCTTTCTACAATGAATTCTCTGTGTTCTTCGTCCAACTCATGCAGCGCCAAAGACGCTCGTAGGAACCGTGCCGCTGCTAAAGTACTCAAAGATGGATTCTTGTTCAAGGAAAAACCCCCGCCACCATTACCAGCAGGTCTTAAACATGAATCGGCTTTGATTTAATCAACCTTTTAATGTTTATTTTGATGTTTCTGTTCATTTTGTATTGTACTGCCTGTGCTTCATCATTTGTTTTCTTTACAGCTTCAAGGGAACAGCAAAAACGGAGAGAAGAGAAAAGAGGATCGAAACTAGACAACAACAGCAAAAGTCTCACCTTGCCACTGAATAAGGTTGGGGCAGTGAAAAACAACTTATTGTTGTGACTTAGCGCTAATTTTGTGAACTTTAGTGTTTGAATGCTTAAGTTATTAGTTTTTGCATGATAAAAACAATTTCTGAAGTGATAGAAGCCAGCACCAATGGTAAACATCTACAAAATATTTAAAATTCCCACTGGGACTGCTCGACCCTAATGTTTTTTTAGTTCTGTGGCAAAACAGTTAGCAGTTTGTCTCAAACTTAACCGAATTACCAGTTTTCTCAGTGAAGTATAACGTGTAGCCTTTAAGTATTGTCTCGGCAGAGTAAGTATCGTTTATCTGTGATTGTTTTGTGATTAAAAGGAAGAAGAAATTGTAGCCTCAGAAGAATGCCTTGAGGTCTTCGCGCGCCTGCAGGAGAAAGGAATTGACGTTTCCATGGATACCATCAAAAGGTAAATTAGCATCAGTTAATCGTAATTTGAACCTAATTGACCGCTGACGTCAGGATTCAGTTGTAACTTAATCGTGAACTGGCTCTCAATCGATTAAGTTGAAGTCTCTCGCTCTCATTTGCTGAACCACTCTCCTTCAGAAAAAAAAAAGTTTTTGCTTCGTAGTGTGAAAGACATACTACCCAAGCCTTTTTTACCCTGCGTGGCCAAAGTACAAGAAAGAGAGAGTGAGAGAGAGAGGGAGAGAGATAGGGAGAGAAATAGAGAAAGAAAATCGTTGTGAGCTTAGAGTGCATTCGCCCCCTCCACGTTCGCAACAATAGTGCTTTAATTTTGTTTTCGCCGTGCCCCCGCACCTCTTGATAATAACAAATGTGTTTGAACCTATACTTTACATTACAGGGGACTAATGGCGCCGGCGAGAAGGGCTGGTGACTACCAAGTGACCGGTTTGAGTTTAGGCTCTAAGTGAGTAATTTTCTTGAGTTGTATGAATTGTTTTCTTTGGAACGTTACTTCAATCATTTGACGTCGCTTCCTGAAAAAAGTAAGCAGGGTTTGGGGGTACACTGTTCTTACCCAGGCTTCTGAAGCAAAGAACATTCCTGTTTGTGTGCGCTCCTTGATGATCACATTCGTTGTTATGTACAGCTATCGTGTCGCCGTCTAGTTATCATATTCGACTGTTTGAAGCTTTGTAGCAGACTGAACTGAACAGATATTAATTAGCCGTGTAGTGATTACGTAATCGTTAGAAACCCCAACTATCTGTTACATCGGGTAGACTGTCAGTCAAATAATTCCATGTGCAATATTTTTTGCACAGCCTCCTTAGCAGACCAGAAAATTGGTTGGCAGATGAACACGCCCGTGTGCAGATTTGGGAAAATGCGCTGAGTAAGTGTGACTTTAAATTTGAGGTATTATCATGCGTGAGGTATTTTTTTTTATCTGATAAGCCTCTTTTGTGTTCATTGACCAGGAGACTCAACAATGTCTGTTGCTTGCGGCGACATATAAACGCACTTTTGTTATGCTGTCTTAATTACTTGGATTTTGTGAAGCAGACGCAGAACTTTAACTTTGTCTGTCTGATAAATCATTCGTGAATGGTCTCTGACATGAAAAGTGAATCAAAGAACTCAAACGCAAGGGCTTAAATTTCGAAGCGCTCTACCGATCCTATGCAATAACTCATTTATAGTTCATAATAGTCACGACAAATTAAACATTTTCTTTTGCAGAAAATTCCAAGTGATATGTGATATATGCAAATTGTCTTGACATCCAACGCAGGGGACAGTGCTGAAAACTTGTCCAGTTTGGTGTACTGCTGTTTTGATTGAGCTTGAAAATGTTGGTGTCCTTTTAGTCTGCGTTCAATATAGATTCGTTTTTCAGTTGTTCGTGCGATTCACGTACAGAGCTCTAAGTACTTAAACATTCGTAAGAAGCTGGGGGGTGTTGGCGATGTTTCATGGTCTACTGGTTGGCACCGCTTGGAATTTAGAAGCACTGTTGTCAAGATTTGTGGCATGTGTGAAGGTTTAGTGACATAAAATGGAGCCCCATGAGCGCCCATTTTTATATATCTTATTTATACAAACCAACGTCTTTGAAAGGAACGTTGGAAAGAGTATTGAGTAATAAAGAATTAATTATTTACCTTGACCATGTGGACATGGAGGTTCAATTGTTGACTTTGTGCGCATTTCTGGTCGATACGTAGTTGTCAAGAGGATAATCACTTGTATTCTATACTTAGGAATTTGCCGGCTTTGATCATTAGAAACAAAGAGTGATTTCAATGGAATACTGGCAGTTTGATCATTAGAAACAAGGAGTGATTTCAATGGAATACTGGCAGTTTTAACCATAGCCAAATGCTTGTGGTAAGAACTAGTTTAGTGGTGGTCTTCACAGTTGTAAACAAGCCTTCAAGAAATAAGTATTTTGGAATGTTAATGACGATTGTTGTCTCGAATGAGGGACATACGAGTGCTTTTGCAAGTAACAAGGGCAAGAATTCCGTAGAACCCCACACTTGATTATGCATTCAATTCTTGGATAAAGGAAAGCAGAGGGAAAACAACAGATTTCCTATTGGGACTACGGCTTTGTTTTTTGATTGGTATAGGGTTATACGGAAATCTTTCCGAAACAAGTCTTCATTTTGAGACAGCAGAATTTTCATCCCTCAGTTTCGTCTTAAAAATTGCATCAAGAAAACAGCCAAGGAAAAGGGCTGGACTCCTTTAAATATCCGATCGTTTTGAAATTAGCTTTTCAGTTCAATGACTGTTAAATATAACTGCGGGCCATCTTGTTGGCCTTTGACTTCTGCTACCAAAAAAAGTTAATTCTTCTTATAATAACACAAACTTGTGAATAGCTCAGGATTTTTTCGGAGACTTGAATTGATGTCTGCTCATGAGAGAATCATAAGATCCATTAGAATCAGTAATAAGTAAACATTTCATATAGGACCACAGCACCGTATTAAACACTCTACCAACTAAACAACAGAAAAGAAATAAACTACGCTTGATTCACCAAAAAAGATTGTTTGACTTAGTTTCACGGCAATGAACTTTGTCTTAAAGCTCCCTTCGAGTCCGTATTGATTGTTATAATAAAATTCAGTTTAGAAGTGTGCATAGACAAGGTGTGTTAAATATTGTTATACACACATCAAGGTTCTTGCTGTGTATTGATTCGTCTGGTTATTATTCACTACAAGATCTTTACTCTTTGTAAGGAGTCAGTTCCTTTCCCGCTGGTTGCTTTCAAATCCACGGTTCATCTGGTAAAGCTTTGTCTTTGCCACTGAAGTAGGTGTGACACCTATCAGGAGTTTTTTTTACTTAACCGGGTTATTTATATTTTCAAATCAATTATATTCAATTCTTTATTTAATCACAGTTTTCCGGTTCAGTTTGCACATTGCATGTTGTACCTCTGAGCGTGCTGCGAACTTCTGCCTGTTTTTTGGAGTGTTTAGTTAGACATCCTATGCCGACGGTACATTCTAATCAACTGAAGGAATAGAGCTAACAAAATAATGATAATTACCCCCTGTTCAGCTACACACAACGACTTAACGACACCTCAAGTGCCCAGCTTTGTGTTGAAGTCAGTGAATTGGATACTCTTTTATTTTGATCTGCCTAAAATATTTTATTCAGTGTTTACGTCCTGCCGCGATTACTATAGAAATGTTATCAGTAGCTCCGCTTGTTAAAGGTGTTTTGGATAGCTGGATGATTCAACATCTTCCTTTGTTTATAACTTTTAGATAATTGGGCGACGCTTCTAGCAACTTAATTGTCTTGGAGTAAAAACTACTCTTTGTTGAGTCTTTGTCACAAATGTAAATTATGGGGCGGTACTCTGAGTGAATTAGTGGTGAAGTCTTCAACTGTCCAAAAACAGAGCTGCAGGATTGTTCCATACTTGTTGATAAAAATTGTTAATTTTTACAGCATCTTTATCACTGCGTATGTTTTTTTTTTTTTTTTTTTTTTACAAGGACACCACAATTGTAAGACTTCCAACGTTATTTTTATCATTCAGTCTTAACCAATTGCGTAGAAAGTACTGGTGAATCAAATTTGGTATTTCGCGAAGAAACTAGGCCAGCCGGAGATTCCTGCCGGATGGAAGATAGACGACATTCTTCCAAATACCGTAAAATATTCCGGTGATATTGATTTCTTTACAAAAGTCCAATTTAAAGTGGAACACAAGATTTATAAAATAATTCGCTGTTTGTTTGTTGTTATGTTTGTTTAAATAAAATGTTAAAAATGGGATTGTTCCGGTCAGTGGCATTTCAAGCTTTTTAATTCTTCAGAAGTTCTATTTCTTTCAGGCGACCAACGTTGTTGAAGCAATTTTTGTCCAGCGGCCGTAAGGCGACAGATAACGATCTCAAGAGAACTTTCAAAGAAGGAGTTCGATGAGTAACATGATTATTTCTTGAAATTCTTTGCATGACAGATAACATATGATACACCAAATTATCCCTTATGAAATTCAAGAATATTCAATGTTTTAGCTTGGAATTGTTTAGAAGAAGCGGTGGTCGGGAAAGAAATGTGATTTCATCTAAGGAAAATAAATTGTCAATGAACTAATGCAATGATTTATTCAGTGGCTGATTAATCGCAGCATTCATTCTACGTTTTCAATCGAAATTGCATCTCGGTATGTAGGGTTAAATTTAGCGTTATCTTTCATACTGTGTGACACCAGCTAACCTTTGGTTTATTGACGAAATATTGCACTTCTGGTCAGGATGGGTAAATAAGCTATTAACGTTCACAAATAAAGTACTTATGAAGGCGCACAGACTGGCGTTGTAAGGGTTTGATTTACAAAGGACGTCAAGAAGACAACAGAACATAAATGTCAAACAAAGTGATAGGCCAATGTCGTGCATATCATGAATTTTAAGTTATGTAAATTTAAAATCGTCGTGTGAAAACCACAAGCATTACAAGCGAATTCAGCTGTGAGGACGGCGAGGCGGAGGAACTGCCCTAAATCATTTCTGTCAGTGAGATCAGAGGCAACTAGAAGAGCAAGCAGTCGGCATAGTCATGCTTTCTTGAGCGATTTCCTAGTTCAGGTTTACTTCCCTTCGTCAAATAACCCATTTTTCCATCACGTAAAAAACGGACATGGCTAGGTTGCCATTAAAGCTGCTGTTGTTTACGACATTTGTTACCGTTGCTGCCAGTGGATCAAGCGCTTGTCCAGTAGCGTGCAACTGTACGACGACAAACTTCAAAAACGTCTCCGTCGACTGCCGCGGCCATAGTCTTTTCGAGATCCCAAGCGAGCTTCCAGACAACACAACAAGCTTGTAAGTGAGGTGTTTTTCTTTTACCATAATCGCCAGTCAAATGCTTTGAGTAAAAGCACTAAGACACGTGTGTAATGGATGATGTTATCCGAGTTTCGTCCTGAACTTTTATGCGTGTGATTTAATTGATAACAACTACACGTTTGAATAATTATAGGCTGATTTTGATTTACTTCGACTTCTGTCATTAAACATTTCGCTAAATCGATGACTGTTTTGCACAGATATCAATCATTGTTGCTTGAGATAGATGAGCTTTGGTACTAACCGAGACCAGATTTCTTCGCAAGTTACCAGGCATTTAAGAGCCAAATACATACAGTTAGGCTGATTGTTAAGAAAGCATCTGCTGGGTATCAGTTTGTCTCCCGAAAGACATCAGTTCAGGTCGGAGTAGAGCGCAATTGATGCTAGTCAACTCCATATTTACATTTCACATGACATTGTTGTTGGTTTATTGACAAATCGAAAATTAACGGAGAAGCCGGAATTAGGATTTAAAAGGTAAATACTATTTTTTTCCCTTGAACGATTTCAATGTAATAACATTTCGTTCAAAGGAAACGTAAGTGTAAGTGTTGCCTAAGAAATTTTGAAAACAAACATAATACTCTATTTCTGGCATAATCGAACCCAATATACGAAAGGTGAGTGCTTAATGATTTGAAAATATTTTTGATCATCTATTCTAGAATCTGTACAACTGTTCATATTATTAAATCCCCTTGGGAGTTTAAAATATTCTTCCTGACAAACCAGATGTAAATTATTGGGATCCTATCGTATTGTTGACAGATCTCGATAAATCGTCAGTGTCAAATTATAATTCTTTCTTTATATACTAAATGAAAACACTTGAAGATGGCGCCGGTTTTATAACAAATCACTTTGCCGCGTAGTCTTGATTATCAGGAGGTGAAAAAAGGCGAATCGCTCCATATTGTGAGATAAACAACACGTTAACGGTCGGGAGCTCTCAGATTCTCTTGGAACTCTGATTAAAATGTGGTAATAATTTATCATTAAGAGTAATCATCGGGAGAGTCGGTGACACAGTCAGCTTGATTTTCAATTTGCGGACAATTAACGACATAAAAACATCAATACCGCCCTACACGATTGTTAGATCACGAATTCATGTAAAACTTCATCCCTTTGCTCTTTATTGTTTAACTTTAAGGCTGCCTTGAATTTTGTCATTTTGATTTCGGTAAATTGACAAGTTGCAGATAAATGTTTTGACCTCTTTGACATCAGAAAGGAGCATTCGTATTTTTTAATATATTCATCAGCATATATGCTTTTCAACTTGAAGTTGACTTCACAAACAGCAGGGTGTGTGGTGATTTGAAAAGAAGTAATTATATCAAAATCTTTTCTGACGACGACAATCGAGCATTTCCTGTATTGAAGAAATATTTCACGGTACTTTTTTGATCTAGATGTTAGACAACCTAATTAATTTTACCGCCAAAAAGCAAGTTAGACGGGCAACTATCAGATTGCGTCACGGATTCCTCAGATAAGGGCGCTTAGATTGATCGCTTCATGAATCATCAATACTTGATTAAGTGAACCATAGTTTTCTCCAGAACAGGCCAACAGACTCAACGAGAATGTTCTAACCTTGTTCCCAGGCTCTCTCGTCTCTTAAAAATGGTCCTACCAAGATTTCTTCGACTATCTTTTACAGAATCTGCAATCGAAACTCGCCGTTATTTCGCTCACTAATGAGCAAAATCTTTTTTGAATGTTTCACACCTCAGTTTAATTTAAATCTGAATAAAGGCTGATAGTTTCTAAAGAAACTGTTTGGCGCTGCGTCGGTGGGGGTAACGAAATAATTTGGTACGATGAATATATGAAGTTCTTATATTATGAACTGCGGTTAGAGATACGTATGATGCACGATCCTCGCAGTAGAAAGTGCTATTTATGCAATAGCGCTCTCTACTGCGAGGTGTCAAGTGGTGATACTGCAATAGGTCAGTGGTTCGAATCCCTTACAGGCCTGATTTT